GTCGACATCGACACGACCGAGAAGGGCAACTTTTTAGGGCGTGTACACAATCCAAGTGCGCCTGAGAAGGGCGTAATATTGCGTAATCTCTCGGCTAGCTGGGATCGTGCGGAATTTGAAAAGCGTCGACATCATATAACTGATGTCAGTTTTCGCATACGTCCCGGTCAATTCGTCGGCATTGTTGGCAATGTGGGTGCCGGAAAGAGTACGGTACTGTATGCCATACTTGGTGAGCTGGAAATCGCCAAGGGTAGCTTGGAGGTTAATGGCAGTATCAGCTATGCGCCACAGGAAGCTTGGATTTTCGAGGCGAGCATACGCGACAACATCTGCTTTGTAGAGCCGTATGATGCACAACGCTACAAGGATGTTATACAAGCCTGCGAGCTAGAACGCGACTTACAGCTGCTGCCCTACGGAGACTCTACTATTGTCGGCGAACGTGGCATAAGTTTGAGTGGTGGACAGAAGGCGCGTATAAGTTTGGCACGCGCGGTCTACAGGCAGGCGGATATTTATATCTTCGACGATCCGCTCTCCGCTGTGGATGCGCAAGTCGCTAAAAGACTGTTGCGCAACTGCTTTCTGGACTACTTAAGCACTAAGGTACGCATAATGGTCACACATCGCGTGTACAATCTCAAGGAAGCCGACTGGGTGGTGTTAATGGAGTCGGGCAGCATCGAAGTGCAAGGCACCTATGAGGTGCTCGAACAGAAGATCAGCAAGCGTTTGAGTTTGACGCAGGAAGAGGTCGAAAAGCGACCGAAGTTACTCCATGCTGAGAGCGTTATGGTGAAGGCGGCGGAGGAGGAGACGGAAAAAGTGGAACTACCAAATGATACGGGATTGGACCGGAAGGAACAGCAAATGCAGGGTTCTGTGCATTTTCACACCTATGCGACGTACTTTCGCGCACTTCGTATGCCCTGGCTGATCTTGATGATATTTGCATTGTTCATTCTAGCGCGCGGCTGTCAAGCGGTGATGGACATCTTCATTGCGAGATGGTGAGTATAAGATTTTAGTGGACACTGGTTGTGGGTTAGATGAAATTAAAGGAAAAAGTGAAAGGTAAAATGTAGAGTGGGTACAGTAATGGAGGCGATTTGTTATGGATTAGTGAAATCTTCAGTGACTGTGGGTACTAGTCAATGTTTAAGAAAAATGTATTACTCTTCGATATAGCCATCTTTAGCGCGGATAATAGCATCGAGTCTGTCCGGCAATGCTTCACATGTTGCATCAATGTCGTGTAGTGGATATAAAATACTTCTTGTCCCGTTGACTCTTGATCGCGTTTAAGGATTTATTTTCATTCTAAGGGTGGTACGGTGTACTTAGGTCGTCAAAGCCGGTACTAGAATTGTAAATTCGCAAAACGGCGGTACTATGGCTGCCGCTTTCTTCTTCTCCATAGACAGCGTAGCATCCTGTCCTGTTATACGGTGACGTTCTTTTTACAAGTTTTCTGTTTCCAAATTTGGAGCCACAAGTAGTCCGCAAGATGTACGTTGCTCGTCCGCTGAGTCAGTATGTGGTGGCCATCAGAGGGGCCATTCATGCCCAGCCACTATTCACAACCTGCTACCCATTCAGTCTACGGCACAGAAACCTCAACACCTTGACTTGGGTTGTATTGGTCAGTAATTTTGGCATCTCGCCATCAAACATACCAGAATTTTGTCTTAAAATAAAAATAAAAAAATTCAGAAAGATTCAAAACTAGGTTTATTTCTTAGTCCTTGCTGGCATGGCACACTTCGCACTGTGAAGTATTTCATAATGTCATTTAAACCTCCTCCCTCAGCAAGACGGCCAACGCTGAGGAGGAACGACTCTGGGTTAAACTTAATTTTTTTGTATCTTGGTGGTGACGGAGCTTTACCACCCAAATTCATTCTAAAATATAGGTTGGATTGGAGCTGAAGTCTTGTCCCACATCCAGAGCTCGGCCCGAAAAGCCTCCGGTTAGGTCAAGTTTAGTTGTCCGCTATGAAAGGGCTCGTCATCCGTCATATGTCTGTGAGTCTTCAAACCAATATTGATGAAAAAGCCTTCTGCGGTCAAAATCATATCGACCTTTTGACGAATCCAATCAGCCTTTGCAACGAAAAATTCGCTAATTCAGCGCTCTTAGTTTCTCAAACAGAGACTTAAAGGAATATAATATGCCGCAGATAACACCAATCGCAACGTATTTCAAGCAGAATAAAGAGCAATAAGTAAAGCGGCTCTGTGTTTCAGAACTATCTTAGCTCTGTTGAGTATTTCAGGCCGACAAACTGCAATTCAATATTTACAACGGAGCAAGACATTCTCGAGAGTAGAAATCAATTTATTGAATACGGTACCTTCTACACCGGAATATCAAATAATGCAAAAATCAGAGTAGTTTCGAGTTGGAACAGATTCAATAAATTAGCTCCCAACTGTTAAACGATGAGAAAAGAGGAAGATACCACAAAACGAATTGTTAGTAGCCTTTTACTTTGACAAGATGAAAACTTAAGATAAATAAACATCTATAATCTCTGCCTTTCCTCAGGGCCACCTGGGAGGAATCTCAGCCGCAGTTGCATGAAACATCCGAGGTTTTTTCTAAAAAACGCATGAATATTGTTCTAATCTATACGGGCCTCATGCTGGGCACGCTCATCCTCTACGTAGTGCGTACCTTTGGCTTCTTCTACATTTGTTTAGCCATCTCGTTACGGCTGCATGATTATCTCTTCAATGGCATTATACGCGCGCGTATGCGTTTCTTCAACACAAATGCTTCAGGAAGAATACTAAATCGATTCTCCAGTGATATTGCTAACATAGATATTTCACTGCCGCAAGCCATGTTGGACTCGTACTCGGTGAGTGTACAATAATACTAATTCAGAAAAAAAAAGGTTCCTATGGTCTGATGTGATGCTTCTATTCCAGTTCTATATGAACATAATTGCAGTGTTGACGATTGTAGCTTTCGCCAACTATTGGCTCCTAATACCAGCATTCGTCATGATCGCACTTCTTTACTTGTGTCGTGGTCTGTACATTAATGCGAGTCGTAGCCTTAAACGTATCGAGAGCATGAGTAAGTCCGATTTTACCTTTCTTCTTTTGTTATTTACTAATTTTTTACTAACTTTTTCATATCCTTCTCAGCCCGCAGCCCCGTTTACTCACACACGAATCAAACATTCCAGGGTCTTACCACGATACGTGCGTTGAAAGCCAGCAGCCATTTGGATAATGAGTTCCACTTCCATCAGAATACTAACACTTCAGCATTATTTCTCTATGTGAGCGTTAATCGCGCTTTCGCTTTTTGGACTGATCTCATTTGTGTGCTTTACATAATAGCGGTTACATTCAGTTTTTTGGTAATCGACACCGAGTTTTATAGCGGTGATGTCGGTCTTGCCATTACCCAGTCTATGACGTTGATAATCATGTGCCAATGGGGTATGCGACAGACGGCTGAAATGGAGAATAATATGACTAGTGTCGAGCGTGTGGTCGAATACGCCGAGTTGCCGTCAGAGCCTGCGTTGGAAACCCGCACTAGCATGTTGCTACCTCAAACATGGCCGAGTGCCGGTGAGTTGCGATTCAAAGACGTCTATCTACGCTACACGGAACAGGGCGAACCCGTACTAAGAGGGCTCAATTTTGCCATCCAATCTATGGAGAAGATTGGTATTGTAGGTCGTACTGGCGCAGGCAAGTCGTCTATCATACAGGCCATCTTTCGATTGGCGATAAATGAGGGCTCCATCGTGATTGATGACATTGATATTGGCACATTGGGTTTGCATGATTTGCGCAGTCGCATCGCGATCATACCGCAAGATCCGGTGTTATTCTCTGGCACAATGCGCTACAATCTCGATCCTTTGGAAGAGAAGGTAGACGAAGAGCTGTGGCGTGCGTTGGAGGATGTGAAACTCAAGCCGTATGTGTCTTCTTTGGAAGGTGGGCTGAATTGTCGCATGCACGATGGGGGTTCGAACTTCAGTATGGGTCAAAGGCAGCTGGTCTGCATGGCGCGGGCTATACTGAGGCGCAACAAGGTGCTAATAATGGATGAAGCGACAGCGAATGTGGATCCAGAGTAAGTATGATGGATTAATTTTTTATCTATCTGTGGCTTAGAGGTGAGGAAAGGAGGTGAAATTACAGTAAAAGAAATAAAAGAGAATTATAACGGAAAGGAAGAGAAAGGAAAGGAAATCAAAGGGAAGGAAAGGAAACGCCTGGAGTAATCTAAGGAAAGGCTATAAAAGAATAGGTTCGGTTAAGACAGGAATGATACTGAAGCGTCTCTAAACATGAAAATTGATGCGCAAGTTATCCTCACTGGTTGCTTACCACTGAGCACAGCCCGAATTAGCCATACGTAATCTGGAATAAAACGACCGTTTTAGAGAATCGCCAAAAGCCGCGAGTCCGTTTCTTTTATAAACACCCAAAGCCGGGGACGCATTCCTTGATCATCTTTCAAACGTGTCTACCTCATCCGGCCTCCTTTTTAATGCCGCTTTTAGGGCTTTGCATAGGGCAGGCGATAGGTTACTTTCTGGGTGTAGAGCATGCTTTTGAGAACACGGAATTCTTTTTAATAGACAATTGTGTGTGGATGTAGACGTTATCAAATTTCACTGATAAACAAGTATTCTTATATTCAGAGCCAGTATATTCATTCTAGGACAGGGAAGAGTCATAATCCGAGTTACGAAAGGCCATCCTATGAATAATCTGTGATCTTTCCTCTATTGGGACGCACTACACCGCATTCCTATTAAAAAGGGCTGGGATGTTCAGGGCTGCGCGGATGACATTGCCATGCTACTTCGGAGCCACTATCTTAACGCGTACAGAATGCACTGAGGATAGCCCTCAACTGGGTAAAACTTAAAAGCCGAGAAGACTAACAAAGTTTTTCTACAGAAAAAGTAAAAAAAAAATATGTCGAAAACACATAAACTAATTTTCTCTATCATAAGGCGAGCTAACAGTCTGAGGCAGTGTATAGAATGTGGGGCGACCAACAGAGCAGCGCAAATGACATTATTAGAATTGAGACACGGTACATACCTCTCGAGGTTCATTAATGATACGCGAATCAAAAAAAAAAACATGTAGCCAAGTAGAGGTATGTTACAATAGGTCAATCTCGGCCGCGGTAACTATACAGATAACCTGCTCCCTCCTCTAAATCTTATTTACTATATCTACTCTAATCTACACCCAACACAGTATTAAAGAGCTGAATGAGTAATAAATAAAATATGATAAAAAGTGAAGAAAAGTAGAAAGGCACTCAAAGTGGCAAGATTATTTAATTAGAATTGTTTAGCCTTTCAAAAATTGCTCTTAACTTTCAAAGTATAACTATAAATCTTCTGTGCTTACAAAGAGTGTTTTGACGGCGAAAAAGGGCGCGTATAAAATAACGAAGAAAGACGCGTAAATATATTTTGTATATTCCTGTTATTGTGACTATATCCTGGAGTATGGGAATAGGCTAACAGTGGACCGAGGAGAAAGACGCGCAAACACGGTTGACCGTGAAAATAGGTTTACGCGTCTTTCTTCGACCTCCAATGTTTAGATTTACGCATCTTGGTCCGCCGTCAACTATATATGTAT